TGCTGCCTCCCAACGCGCACCATCTTCAATAACCAACCCTAACATGGCATGGCGATGAGTCCTCTACGGAGAGAGCCAGTTGTTCCACCCCAGCTTTCCCTGCTCGGGAAACATCTCTAGCCCATAGCGAAGAATTGGAAATCATAGACGTGAAAGATGTTCAAGGTTTGTTAACTTTGTCGCCATCTTTCCGCCTTGCGGAGAGCTCACCCGAGGATTAGGATTTAGGCTACAAAGGGCAGCTTTGCAGACCCGGCAGCAGAGCGGAGACATACCCTCATCTTGCGTCCCCGCAGGACAGCCAGCCCTCTGCTCTGGTACTCACGGGGAAGGGCGACCTCCTTCACCGCCCCGGATATTCACCTGCAACAGCAAGGCTGACGAGGGGACCATTTGTCCTCTTTTGCCACTTGTGAGGTCGAAGTGTGTATGGGATGTAGCCTCTGGCCCCACAGCAACACCTACCCTAAACTTTAGGGCTTTTGGGTCGTCTCAAAGTTCAAGCTTCTTAGAAGCAACAAAGCCTTTCTAAAGATCTCCACCCCTTCACCCCTCCCCTTGCTTCACTTTTCTTTGGCTACATGCACACAGCTCCCTTTCTTTCTAGGGCTTGGGGATGAGTTTAAATCATCGAGCTCCCATTTCTTGATAACGGCCTGCTTTGAGCTTTTGTTCTCTAAAGTAGGATTGCACACTGAAAGAGAGGCTGAGGATGAACAGTTTGACCCTTTAGGACAGTTCACGGCATGGACAGGAGCGGCCCGCGGTCACCAGCCTCGCTGGTACTATTCACGAGCTCCCCTCCCCCCTCGCATGACATTTCAGCCTCGTTTCATCTGGACAATCTTTTAGACCACACAAGTGCCTCTTGAATTTATTTAAGTTAAGAGAGTGTTAGAAGAGTCCAGCTAAGGATATTTGGCATTGGTCACGTCTTCGCAAAGCCAGAGCATAAATTGAAATTGCTCCCCCACACCCCCAGCAAAACCGAGCAAAATGCTGAACAAATACAGAAAATGAACGGACTTGTGTCTGGACTGCACAAGTGTTGGTAGCTTGTCTTTGGGCTTGTATCTCTGCTTTTCTTGAACGGTATTTTTCATAGTGAGAAATATTTCCAGAAGTGTTCTCCTCCTATCCAGTGTGAGGCAGCTCTTGAGAGATAGAGTACAAACTATACAAAAATCTTAGTTCCAAAATGCTACAGAAGGTGGCTTTTTTCACAACTGTATATTGCACAGTAATATAACACACACCACTGCATAAACATAAGGAAGCTCTTATTTTAAAAAAAAGTTTAATGAGCTCACAATGTCTTATTTGCATACTTTAAAATTTTTAAAATTCTTGTTGTACTGGGAGGTACATTGTGACATTTACAAAAGTTCTTACAATATATCTTACTTGAATTCATCCCCTTCACCTCACTCACGATGTCTTGATATTTAAATGACTTAGAGAGTGGTTTGAGTATGTACACACTCTTGATAGTATTGGAATGCATCTTTTGCCTTTTAAAGAAGCTTCCAGAGTAGAAAATGTGCAGTTCATTTTAACACTGATTTACCGTTTCCAAGCATTTGCATAAGACCCACTTTAGTGTACACTGGTAAATTCTCGATCACTGACAAGACAGAACGTGTGGCTTTTGTCATATGAAAGCACATGACTTTCAATAGTCATAAAAACATAAAAGCTTAGCAGAATATAAAAAGTGGGGACTCAGAGACCCTAATACTGTCAACAGTCAACCTCAGAAGTCCTAAGCATTTGACTCAGGTGATGCCATTGCTATTTGGGGTTATACACGGCTCACCAACTGTTAAAGCTTCTACTTTTTGTTGTTCTCATTGCTGATGCTACAGTTTTATTATTAAACACAGATGGACAAACCAGATAGCCAAGGATACAATTAGTTACTCCCAAAAAGATTGCCTTTACACAAATTGCTTTGAAATCATACTTAACTGACTTCTGGTATATCTTCTAAAACTAATTGACTAATTTCCGAACATTTGCTAGAGCATGCCAAAGAATTTAGTTGCTTAGTGTTAAGACTGGAAACCAGTTCATCTTTGAGGTCTTTTTGTTGTTATTGTTGTTGTTCTGGGTGGAGGTACATTGTGGCATTTACAAAAGTTATCATATATATCATACTTGAATTTACCCCCTCCACCATTCTCCTTCATCCTCCCCCCATTCCTGGAATAGTTTCAATAGGTATCATTTTTCCACTTACATGCCTGTGTACACAGTATTAAAGCTGTTATTAACTGAGTCATAATTCTGTTTTTTCTCCAAATTTATTTTGTTGTTAGGTCAACCCAGCACTTCTTAGGGAAACAAACAAACAAAAAATTAAAGCAACTCATCCAAAGAGATGTGTTTCTATGAATACTGAAATAAATGTTCCTTTGTTTTCTGCTGGATTAATCTGTCGGTTTGTCTTCTTTTGCAGGCAGCTCTTGTGGAGAGATGCAACTATCCAAAGACTGATACACCATGTTTCCTCTCATCATCTCAGCAATTATTTATAGCAGTCTTTGATCATTTCATCACACTGTAGCTTTCTCACATTCTTTATTTCATTCAAATTTACAAACAAAACCCTGATTCCAAGGCCACAGGTTCTTTCAGTCCCTATCCAGCTAGTCAAGACCACACTCTGAGTGAATTTTCTTTTAAGGGGATGTTGAGAAGAGTATTTTGCTTGCTTGGTATCAGTGATCACTGCCTAAAAAGTAATGCCCACGTGTACCTGCAACCAACTTGTGCACTTCTGGCTTTTTTGTTTCTTTCATTACTAGGATTTGAACTTAGGGCCTTGAGTTTGCTAAGCAAGCATTCTACAACTTGAGCCACTCTACCTACCTCACTTTCTCTACTGACCTACCTTTTACCTGGAACAAACTTCTTATTGAAGTTCTGATTCTTCAGACTCTTGAGACTGAGATCCAAAGAAAAGTGAGAGAGGCACATGCTGTGTGCTGAGGAGACTGAATGTCTCTTTTTCTTCTTTTTAATTTCAGCTCTTGTAACAAAATCCAGCTGATATGAAAGACTGGGGGCGGACTGGGGAAATAATGACTTTAAATTTAGGAAATTTGTTTTAAAGGGAGAGGAGATGAAAACAAATACCAAGAAGCAAGTTGAAAATCATGCTGGTTTTCTAATAATTTCAAGACAGGGAAGTCTGAAGGTTGCAGAGCTACAAAGAGCAGCAGTTTCTTTCCCTAGGATTCTAAATTTTCACTTCTTCTATTTGTGCCTTCCAATCCCCCTCAGGTCCCCCTGCAGGAAACATCTCACGAATAAACAAAAACCATGCAGAACACCTAACAATCCACTTTCCTCACCCTTCTCTCAAATACAACTTACTTTTAATTCCTACAAAACAAGGGAGAGAGACCTCTCTTTGTCTTGTCCCTCCTGGACTCCTGACACTCCCATCAGCGTCTCGCTTAAACTTAATTTGCAAAAAGGATGGCAAGGGATGCCTCTCCAGTCTACTGGATACCAGATCCGTCAGCCACTCTCTTACCAGCCAACACCCGACCCAGCGCACACAGCTGGGGGCTCTGATTCTGTCTCCTAGGAAAGTCAGCCTTGGTGACAAGACGGTGGGCGTGAGTGAGGGGGAAGAGGGCAGGGCTGACGAGCAATTCAGAGCAAGTTTCCTCTGAAGTCCAGTAGCCCTTCAGCTCTTTTTTACTCATTGAAAAGAGGGAGAATTGGGAGGACGGGCCCCATGTCCCTACAACGCCCCCCAGCGCGGAGCAGAGGTCACAGAAATGTCACTGCAGCCCGTTTGCTCCTAGGAGCCGCAGCACAGCAGCACCTCTCCCTCCCCACCATCGATGCCACCCACGCAGGAAGCCTCCTTGCGGTCTCGCTCCGCTCCAAACTGGGGTTACTCCCACCCCCAACAAAACAAAATACAAAATACGGTATGTCAGCACCCGGATCAAGAAGGTCTCTCTCAGTGCTAACATGCGAGTGCATTTATTCTAACATCCTCGACTGCTCTACCACCCTATCTCCCCTTCTAGGAGAGTCCTCAATGTCCTCCCCCTTCATCCTCTCACTCCAGGTTCTCTGGACCCCAGACACGCTCGCCCACAAAGTGCCCACTGCTCGCCACCCATACCCCTTTCCTCGCGTAACCAAATGATTGCTTTTTTTAAAAAAACGGTCCACTATTTGATACACTTCCTAAGAGGCTTTGCCAAGAGACGGCCGGCGGCATCTCAGGGCTAACTGCTTTCCCTGGGATTCTGACCCCCATTAACTAATTCCTCGGCTCCCATAGCCCGGGAGCTCGGAGGCCGGGCCGCGCCGGGTGCGATGCGTGTGCGCGCATCGGGGCGGGGGGAGTCGGGGCTGCCGGGAGCACCGGGGCGGGGGCGGTAGCCGGGGGTCCCCGCATCGGCCCCCAGCGCTCAGGCCCCTAATGAGCTGCTGAAAGGGAGCGGACTCCGGTGCGCGTGGCTCGCAGGCCTCCCGGAGTCCGGGGCGCCCTGATTGGCCAGCTGCGCCTCGCGACCTCCATTCATTAATAAATTAGCGGCACGCTCCAGCCGAGCGCGAGCCACCAATCACAATGGACAGCGGCGGCGACAACAGCCGCAGCTTGAGCCGCAGTCGCGGTGGCGGCTTGGGTAGCTCGGACTGCAACCTGGAGCTCCAACAGGAGCTGTAGAACCATTTGATGCTGATGAGATGAAGGGCGAAAAAGAGGCGGGGGTGGTGGGGGGAGGAGGAGGAGGATGGATGGCTGGGCCAGGGGAGGGGGAAAGGGGCTAAAGAAAGAGAAAGAAATGAATGATGATAATACGATGAAAAGAATAAGCCGGGGAGGGGAAAGCGGGGGATAAAGGGGGGGCAGGACTAGGGGAGGGGGAGACGACGGGGGAGGGTAGGTGAGGTGGGGGCCCCGGGGCAGATCTGATTGTTTTCTTGGTGGTATATAAGGGGTTTTAAGGAGAGTCGTGTGCCAGACACGCAGCCACTGAACCACAAGCAGCTTCGCTTTAACTGGAGTGCCTGGGAGTCGCGTGCCACGAGCCGCACGGCCAGGGACTGACTGACAGACGGACACGCACCACCACCACAACACACGAGACCCGGGCGGGGTGCCGCCGCCGCCGGGGCTCTTGGCAAACTCGTCGGTCAGAGAGATCCCCTGCAGAGCTGCGCCACCATAGCGCCAGGCCCGCTACTTTCCAGCGGGGCGGAGGACACAGCGCTGCGCTCCGAGCTGCGGGGAAATTCCCGGCACACGCCAAAGTAATAGCCACGCCGCAGCACATTTAGAGCCGAGTAGGTAAGAATCCACCCTGCGGCTGCCAACGTCGCGGGCTCTTCCCGCACTCAGTCTGACCATGCCCACGCACGATTTCTGTCTCCCAGGTCGCAGCGCCTTCTCAGGGCCGGAACCCAGCCGCCAGGGCGGCCCGCAGAGCACGGGACCGGGCTGCCTGGCGGCGAGTCACAAAGAGGGGCGCTCCTTGACCTTGGAGATAGTGCTCCCTAACTAGCTTCCTCCTCCGCGCCCTCCGGAGCCTGTCTTAGCGGGTGCGCACAGGAGCACGCACCATGACGCGGCGATCGAGCCTGTTTCTCTATATAAAACTGACTAGCTTCTTTCTCTTTCTCTGATCTCTTCCGTAGGATGTTCGTCAAGTCCGAGACCTTGGAGTTGAAGGAGGAAGAGGACGTGCTGGTGCTGCTGGGCTCGGCGTCCCCAGCCTCGGCCGCCCTCACCCCGCTGTCCTCCAGCGCCGACGACGAGGAGGAGGAGGAGGAGGAGGAGGAGCTGGGCGCGTCGGCGGCGCCTGGGCAGAACCGGGCCGAGGCCGTGCAAGGGGCGCGGGTGGGCGCAGCGGCCAGTGCGGGGGGCTGCGGGCCCGCACGGCTGCTGGGTCTGGTACATGAGTGCAAGCGGCGCCCCTCCCGAGCCCGGGCCGTATCCCGCGGCGCCAAAACGGCCGAGACCGTGCAGCGCATCAAGAAGACGCGGAGGCTGAAGGCCAACAACCGCGAACGCAACCGCATGCACAACCTCAACGCGGCGCTGGATGCGTTGCGCGAGGTGCTCCCCACGTTTCCCGAGGACGCCAAGCTCACCAAGATCGAGACCTTGCGCTTTGCACACAACTACATCTGGGCGCTCACTGAGACCCTCCGCCTGGCCGACCACTGCGGGGGAGGCGGCGGCCTGCCGGGGGCGCTGTTCTCCGAGGCGGTGCTGCTGAGCCCCGGGGGCGCCAGCGCAGCGCTGAGCGGCAGCGCAGACAGCCCATCGCCCGCCTCCTCGTGGAGTTGCACCAACAGCCCTGCATCGTCCTCCTCCTCCGCGTCCTCCAACTCCACTTCCCCGTACAGCTGCACTTTATCGCCCTCCAGCCCCGCCGGCTCAGACATGGACTACTGGCAGCCGCCACCTCCCGACAAACACCGCTATGCACCTCACCTTCCCATAGCCAGGGATTGTATCTAGAGTTGCCATCTCGGCCACCCACACCAGGCGTTAGGAGCTCCCCTTTCCTGTCCCCCTACCGAGCCTTCCTCCCATCCTTCTCCTGCCTCCCGCCCCCCTCCCCTCCTTCACTTCTCAAAGCAGATGTAGCCATGGCGAAGAGTCCTTGGTCGGTTGTGCATCCTTGGCTATGGGTTTACTTCATTCTGCGGGCTCTGATTTATTAAAGGTGTGAGGGAGGCGTTTGGAGGGAGCTTCTCGAGACTAAAGACGCTGGGAAAAGATGAGGGTGACAAAGTTAACTGGTTTCCAGCCAGACTGACGCTCCTCCCTTCTCTGAAACACGGGAGGAGGATTCAGCGCAGTTCATGTGACTCTCCCAGGGGGAAGGCAACTGGTTCCTGCGATCTCTTCACCTTTGCTTCTACATAGAGATGTTAATGTCGAGTAGAAGGAACTGTATGTTAGCATCTGAATGACTGTACCGGTAATAATATTGTCCACAGATTTGCAATGGCTGGCATCTGCTTTATTCCCATTGCTGTCCGCAGGCTGTGGGAATTTCACCTGTCAAACCAAACTTTCCCTCTCTGATGTGCACTTTGTTCTTTTTCCCAGATTCGTCACAATGCCTATTGTCTCGTCCTTCTCTTTCCTTTTTCTTCTCCATTTTGCCATCTGTCTCTTATGATTTATAAGGGGGAAAACTGGTTTTGTTAGAGTGCCAGGTTAGGAGTCATTGTATAATTTGTAGGCTTTGTAATGATTGAATGCAAGCGTGGAAATTTAGGCTGAACTCTCTATCAAAAGGAAAAATGTGGAGGAAAAGGGAAAAATCAGGAGGGAGGATTGCTTCATGCATTATTTATCGCGACCTTTTAGGGGAGAAGGAACTCCCCCATTCTTTCAAGAGATTAAGAATAAATCCACAGTCTGAAAACCTAAGCAGACACGGAGCATTATCGGAACCAGCCACACACGTGTTCCCTTCTATTTATTATAAAGAAAAATTTCATGGGAAAAGTATGTATTTTTTGTATATTCTACAGAGTTTATTCTAGTATGTATTTACATCTTGAAGAACAAAAAATTGTTCTGTGATTAAGCTATAAATAAAGTATCTAATTTTCATAAGTTTTGTGTGTTGTGTTCTAATTTTTATTTTCTATGTGGTTTTCTTTAGCTGCAAAATGAGTTATGTTTTTCCGAAATCCTCCCCATGTCAAATTGAAGATAGCACCTGTATTTTTTGGCCATGTTTGAAGTCAAATTTCATTAAGAAATTGTAAGAAGCTCAGTCAAATTTGAGGCACCAATACTGAAATAAGAGTGTTACTTCAATACAAACACAAGCTGTGTTTTCAAGAAATCAGTTTCTGAGCTGGAGATTCAGCTCAGTGGTAACGCACTTGCCCAGCGTGCTCCAGAACCTGGGTTCCCACCCATCTCTAACACACTCTCCGCTCCTCCCCAAAAGAGATTAATTTCCTGTTTTTAACAAACAGGATGAGCAAAAAAGGAGAGGGGAATTTAAATAATAAGTCACAACATGTTCCAAAGCTCAGAAAATCATGATTAAAAAAATAGGGAAGTTGAAATTTCTCGGTAGAAATATGTAGAGATTTGAGTACTATCGTTTTTGCTTGGTTTCAGTTTTCATCTGTAAACTGAAGGGAGTAGACAATGATCCCTAAGCCCCCCCCCACCAACCTAACATCTGTGATGTTACAGTATTTATGAATTCACTATTGGAAGCTGATTTCATATTAGCCGTTTTAACAAGCTAGTTGGTTTGAAAAGCAAACTTGGGGTGGGAGAGGGGAGATTCAGAGTAAGCACAAATAAAAAAAGAATGTATCTGAAAGAAATATATCTAATCTTTGTTAAAGTCAAAACTTCTTCAAAGAAGAAGCAAAACTGGTGTAACTTGCATTTCAATCTCCAATATAGAAATGAATGACCTTTGACTGACCTTGGCTCAAAATTGTCCACTTGAAGGTTGACTGCATTATAGATTAAGTCCCAGTGGGGGAGAGTATCTATGAGAACACAAACTAAAAAAGATAATCATGTTAGTTAAAAAAAAAAGTAGTTATTCAAATTACTCCCTACTCTCATCGGTGTTTTTATCTGTTTTTACTTTAAGCTGAGTCCTCCATTTCTTTGCATAAAAACAATGATAATTTCTCCTGAGATGTCTATCTGATACTGCTTCTCCTCTCCATTCATGTGGAAAATACTAAGTGTTTAATATTTTAATAACTCCATTTTTATCAAAAGAGGGATAAATTCAGGCTTTTGCTTAGTTTTCATACTGGACATAAGAGGGACCTGTTGAGTTCTTTTTAATTTAAAGATTGTGTTATTCATACCTAAGAGTAAACTTTGTTAACCTGTTATGGGGAGAAAGTGCTATTTTTCTAATCCACACTTACGTTTTTGGTATCTAAAAGGTCAAGTCAGCAATCAAAAGTATTGCAGTATGAGAGTTTGAAAACAACAGAATTTTGATGCCAAGCCCTCTTCCCTCTTCTCCTGATGATACTTATGGTTATATATGATGCCTCCTTTAGAAATGTGCTAAAGAATCAGCTCATGGCGCGGGTCTGTGAGGCCATTCTCGGGACAGTTAGTCTTCCAGCTAAGGGAAACCTCCCGGGTTGTCGAGGTGATCCCATAAACAGGCGATCCTAATGGCTTAGGTGGAGTAACAGGGAGGGGTAAGTGGTTCAATAATCACAGCGTCTAGCAGTCACCTCTACAGTGTCTCCAGTCCCTGAGACTTGTCCACATTCCCAAAGCCAGAGACTGCAGGCCTCCACACACCACAGCAGAATGCCGGGGGTTCTGTCTACCGTCTACCGTCCATACTCCGGCTTTCCCTGGCCCACTTTATTTTACAATCAAATGGTGCAATAATTTTTATAGCATTTAATCAGCAGTTAGGAAAGATGTGCTTGCTGGCTTACTTAGCTCTGGGAATTCTCTTTCTCAGCCCCTCAACCGCAAACCCTACAACCTGTGGGCAGAGGCCCAGTGGTTCTCTCCGCTCCCTGGTAGGGTGGAAACCGCTTCTTTTACAGGAGGGAACAAGGTCGCATTTCTATTTTATCCATTTCCCTGTCATGAGAGAAATTTCAAGCAGGTGCCCACTTTCTCCTGGTGACAGTTCCACCCCTCCAGCGTTGCTAGACCTTTCCGAGCCAGTGGGTGCGCCACCGTGCGCTGTGCTAGGCTGGGAGACGCGGGAAGTTTGGCCCTATCCTTTGGGGAACCAGTCTGAGGCCTGAGGCCCGGCATCGGCTTGTTCCAAAGGGCCTGGGTCTGGTAATAGCTTACTTTTCCTTGCCAGATTTTAAATACAACTGCCTGAGGCCAAGAAGGAGGGGGAAAAGTAGGGAGGCGGCTGCTGGGACCCCGCTGGAGAGGCTCCGGAGCTGAGGCAGGGCTCCCGGAGGCCCCAGGCTGCACTGGAGGCGAGGGAGAGAGGGTCTAGGGAGCCCAGTCCAGTCCGATGGCCCACCACCAACGTCCAGGCCCCAGGCCGCCTCGGTATGGCCCTCCCGGCATCGTGTGTCGCCGGGCTCCAGGCTGCAGCAGGGCTCTGCCAGCAGGCCACCTCCTGCATGGCACCGCCTTGGGCTGCTTATGACTTCTGGGCACCTGGAAGCCTTTAGAAGCGCCTTCTCCTCACATGGGCCGGGGCCTCCCTGCGTCCCCCCTCGGGCTCCCAGGCCGGCTTTGAATGTATTAATTAAATAAAGCGGGCAGGCCTTGAATCACGCCAGTACAGGGCGCTCCCGGGAGCGTGAAAGTCCCGGCTCCCAAATCAGCAAAAGAAATGTGTGAAAAGAGAATTAGTGAAATTAGGTTAGACCAATAAAACGTGAGGGCTCCGGCACCCCCTCCCTCCCCACTCTCCAAGCCTGGGGCGAGAAGGGCTATCTGGTCTGATCTATTGTTTCCCGCCCTGGCAGGGGGTTCATTGTGTGATAAATAATTCCCCCTCCATTTTCTTTTATTCTTAAAAAAAATGGGTATTTGCATAATCAGTGCTTTGATGTGGCCAGAAATCAGAGGTTTGGTCTCCCCAAGTCTTCTATTGGTGGTGAGGCAACAAAGCTAGGTCCCGATCATTCCCTTCGGTGACAGTGCGAGGGGCAGGTTGTCAGAACAGCAGCGTTGAGCTGCGCCTAGCGTTTTAAGAGACACTTTAATGATTAAACTTAAGGAATGTAGGGGGGGTGGTGAAAGCCCAGTGGTCTCCACCTGTCCGCTTCGCCCGGTACTCTGGAGTTCTTGGTTCTGGCCAGTTTATTTTCCAAAGCTCTTGAGGTGGGGGTGGGGTGCGCCTCCCTCCACGTGGCTTCGACTGGGTTACGGGTCCCCCGGGGTCTGGAGGGGCAAGGTTTGCAGGAGCGATCCTTCTTGGGCCCCCACCCTACCCCGCTTTTCTTTTTCCAGTTTGGCTTACCCAGCTGGGATGTGGGTTCATCTTTTGGAGGACTGATGAGTCGCTTCTTAGTGGAATCAGAAGGTGGGGAGAGTTCCCTGGGAACGCAGCTTGGGGGCATTTTCAGAGGGTTCCCGACAGGAGACACAGCAAAGAAATTCACTCATCCGGAAAGCAGAACGCCAGAACCAGTGTGGTCGCAACTGTTATTTGCCTGCAAGGTGGCGTCAGTCGGGAGGACCGAGTGGGAAAGAATCCTGATGGCGTGTGCGCTCTGACAAATGACTTTCCTCTTCCTGGTGCCAAGATCGCGGGTGGGGGCGGGAAGATAGGGTGCTCTGCCTTCGCTCACATTCTCGGCTTTTCCAGCTGCTCAGAGAGTGAAGGGGGGAAATGCCAACTTGGATGGCTAACTAAGAAGAGCCTGCTAACTAAGAAGGGCAAAGCCTCCCCGAGCGCCCAACAGGCGCGGGCCTCGAACTCCAGACGGGGTAGGTGTCACCGGTATAAAGGGCGCTCACCCTCTGGGGAAGGGTCAAGATGGCAACAGGGAAGGAGGAAGTTTCTCCAAACACTTGCTGATCAGGGGCGCAATTCTTCTCTCATCCGCACCTGCACCTCCACGAGTTGACAGGTGAACCACCAACTCTGACTCTCAGAGCTTCAAGGGTAGTTAGCTCATCACCAATTCTCTCCCTCTCCCTCTCCTTTTGTTATTTATCTTTCCTTTTTATTTTTCAAGGTTGTAGGTGTATAGGCATTTTATTTTTTCTATGAACGTTTTCACAAAAGTTACATAAATCTTAAGAAAAAAATGAGAAGGGATCTGGGAGTCACAGTTCTTCATAATGGAAGCTCACTTTTAAGGTTCGACTTTGGGGACGGTTTGACTTTGGGGACAGCTTTTTAGATTCATGTTACCTGGCAGACACTCTACTTACTGCCCATCGAATTCCAGAGATGTGAGAAATCAAGGCAGAATTAAACGTTATTTCCAAGGACATATTTTCATGGGAAGGCTACAGGTACATAGCTGGTCTTTAAAGGAGTGCATATCTCTTCTGATGGATTCTATCATCTGTACAGCAGGCTGTGTCACCAATCTTTTTCTAAATTTCCCTTTCCTTTCTAAAGACTCTATCATCTCTTACTGTTTCTCTTCACTGTCCTTTTGCACTCAAATTCTCATTTCCACTTTCCCTCCCTTTTGTTCTGTACCTGGGGGCAGACCTGGAGACATTAAGTAATGTCCCAAACTTTCACTTATTTCACTTGATACAGAAACTAATAAAAGTGTTAAACTCCATAGAAAATGAGAACAAGAATCTTTAAAATGTCTAGAGAATTGGGGCCTGGTTTCCATGGCAGCAGATTGCAATAAAGCCTAATTCCATGTGACAAAGAGGTCATCTTCCTTTTCAAATGTGTTTATGATCCCTTTGTGCATTGTATTTTGGTATAAAAGCTTGTCTGCACTGTTGGGGCTTCCTGGGTAGCTCTGGAACTCTCAAGGGGGTTTATGGCCTCCTTGGCATAAGAATAGTAGAAAGAAACCAAACCAGTGCCAGTGTGACAAAGAGATGACCCCATGGCTTATCATTGCTTCCCCCTTCTCCCCATAATACATAAATCTTGCTATGTATTGAAGCAATTAAAAATGAAGAATTCTGGAATAGTTTTA